GCGGCAGCTGGGTGAGCGAGGGCGCTCCCGGGTCGGGGTCCGGGTCAGGGACGGGAGCCGGGCGAAGAGGGTGGACTCAGTGAGCCGGTGCCCTCTTCGGAACCAGGTTCGCTATGGGCGCGGGCTTCTCTCGTGTCGCTTTCTCGCTAAGACAAAAAACTTGAGGCGATTTGGTTGTTTCAGAAGGCAGAGTGACCAGGTTACTTGAGAGCTCCGGGTCTCTGTACCAGTTGACACAGTTTTCGGGCGCCTTGTCTGCCCATGCGGATTTGGATAACGAGCAGGAAGCCCCGAGAGTCGCTCGTCAATCCCAGACTCCGGAGTAGCCGCGGTGGGAGAGACCGACACCCTCCTGGTCCTTTCGTTTTCTCCAAGCACCCTGGAGCAGTCGGCCAACGGGAAGCTGCTCATCCCAGGGCCCGGGAGGAGCAAGTTCAGGCCGGTCTCTTTGGTGGTACTAGAAGTTGGGCTGCCCTTGACACCAGTGCAAGAAAGCCTGGGTTTCCTTGGCCTGAATTTGGCAGGACAGGCCTTGTCAGTGGCGCGTTGGTTTTCTGTGGTGGAATACTAAGCACAGCGGGTCTGTCATTTCTTCAATGCTAAGTGTAGAAGGATGGCGAATCTGTCTGGAACCCAAAGTATAGAAAATGTTACAAGTAATACGAATAGGTAACCAAGAAAAGTTTTTCCAAAGAAAACTTAAGATTTTTTGTGAAAAATATGTGATCAGCCTTAGACGTTAAAACTTAGCGTCTAATTTTGTTTTTTAAAGAATGCGAACTGATTATATGTACATACTCCTTGAGGTGATCCCCCATTAGAGTTGGGAGAGTCATAAAGTAGGAGCAATAAGTAGGATGAAGCTAGAAGGGCTGGCTTCTAGTTGTGGTTCTGCCAGAGCAAGGTCACTTTTGTCTGAGTATTGCCTCGCCATTCAGTGGTTAATCAGTAAATGAAGGGTTAATAATGTTGAAGGTCCTTTGTCACTCTTTATTTTCGAAAAAGCATTGGCAGGCTCATTTTAAAAATAACATCTTTCTAATGAGGAAAGCTTTTCTTGTGAAGGTGAAGGGAAATTCTGTAGAACTAGTCCCCTCATTTTGATTTTGATCAAATGGATGTGACCTCTTCTAGCCCCTAAGCAAGTAAAACCACCAGGTCCTTTTGTCTTCCTTGAATAGATGAACAGTAATTACTAACCAGTGGCCAAGCTGGTAATTTAAGAGGTAGCTTCCTTCATCTCCTCACTTCGCTAAAAGGTCCGGCTATGTTTACCAGGTACAGATTTTAGATTTCCTCTTCTCTTCATTCATAGGATTCATTTCCTCCTCAGCATTCTTGACAGAGTTTGACCATCCTTCATGAGACTTGATCACTTCACCATCAGTCTGCCCACCACATTGCTGATTAGTATGATATAATATATAAATATGGTCATTACTGCTATCCTTAATTTTTTTATTGGCTCCCTGTGGCTTACAACTAATAAACTGCTAGGTGGAAGCATTATTAGCATAGAGATTAGGAAAGCATGCTTTGAATTCCATTTTCCACTTTTATTATTTGTGTAATTTTGGGAAAGTTACATAATCCTAATAATAATAATAACATAGGATTGTGAGGGCTGCTCCAGCTTGTGTCTACTAAGCCTTTAGTAAATATTAAATGGTGGTGTTACTCTCAATATTTTTTGCATGTGTGAATTATGAATGATTACAAACCATAGGTGATTCCCTGTCTATGGTAAAAATATTCTTTCCAGTTCCATTCTAGACAGGAAGTAGACCCCAACCTGAAAATTACTTATGAATGGGAACTTTGGAGGGATGTTTACTTAAACCAAAGACCCAGTTTGTTCCCCATTCTTTCTCCTTTGGATCTTGATAATCTGCTGATTTGGGGCACAGATTCCTACTCAGTCCTTCCCTGTCTCTGAAAGTGGGTGGACTTAGTATTGATATATCAACTCTTATAAATACTGTTTTCTTAATGTTTGGTAATTAGTGAGGTGATTAGCATGCCGGTGCTTTTCTGAGTGTATGAAAGCTAGAAAAGCAGTGAATGCCTTTAATCATGGGTGTTTGTGTCATGTGCTAGACTCACAAAATTACGCATATTTTTTCTGCTTGCAATTTCTTTTCACTCTCGCTTCAGATGCTGTGCCCTACAGCCTTCATGATTTGATTTTATTTTAATGTGTTGTAATTTCCTTATAGCTGGTTCCTGTGACACTGGTAGTTTCAGTTTCTTATGTTATAATCACAGGGAGGACTACCCAAGAACAGGTAATCGGCTGACAATGTATTTTAAAAATCTCATTTAGCACAGAGATATATTGACCAGAAAAAGGTAATGAGATGTCATGACCTGAAAAGTAGAAGGGAAGCCTGGTATAGTAGCACACACCTGTAATCACATCCCCCTGGCAAGGTGAGGATCTGAAGTTTGACCTCAGCCTCAGCAATTTAACAAGACTCTGTCTCAAAACAAAAAAAAATGAAAAAGGGGTTGGGGATGTAGTTCAATGGGAAAGGCTTGAGTTTAATCTCCCATACCACAAATAAATAAATAATCAAGTATTTCCTTCATGAGATTACTTCTGTCTAGAAAAGAGAGGTGTTTGTATGTAATATGTTCTCTGTTCTCTCATATCCTTGCTGTGCATTCACACACATTTTGAGATGTTGTATAAGAATTATTTACATTATTGTTGAATGTAGGTTTTTCCAATATGCATAACACAGGTAAATTCATTTATACTTAGTCTTTTGCTAAGGTTAAGGATTTTTTGCAAATAAAATACACTAAGTTTAGGGTAGTATTTCAGGGTGTTTATAGATTCCACAAAGCCAGTGTTATACATGGAAGATTTTTTTTTTCATTCACTAATTGCTTTTACATTTATGTCAAAAATCTTTGTCCATACATATATCAGTATATTCCTTAACTCTGTATTCTGTTCCTTTGTTGTATATTTGTCTTTACATCAGCAGCGCACAATCTTGGTTATTAGAGATTCACAATAAGACTTGAGAACAATGGAGTTTGCCCTTTAAACTTGTTTTTTTGTTTTTGTTTTTGTACTGGGGATTGAACTCAGGACCTTGTGCTTTCGAGGCAGGTGGCAGCACCACTGAGCTAAATCCCTGGCCCCAATCTTATTGCTGTGGCTCTTTAGGTGTTTGCTTTTTAGAATTTTAGCATCAGCCTGTCAGTTTCACTTAATCTTAGCCAAAAGTCCAAGAAGCAATTAAGAAAACCTTTTGGGATTCTATTGCCCTTGAAGATCAGTTTGGAAGAATTGAAAACTTAAGGCCAAGTCTTCTGATCCAGAAATTGGATATCTCTCTAGTTTAGATCTTCTATTTCTGTCAGCTGGAGTTTGTGTTTTTCTGTTTCAAACCTTTTGTCAGATTATTCCTGATTTCATATTTCCTTATCCCATTGTATTTGGTACCATCACACAAACATAAACTGTAAATTTTTAAAAATTTAAAGTTCACGATTGTTGCCAGCATATAGAAATTTACTTTATTTTTTAAAAAATTGTTAATTGTAAAATATATAGCATAACATTTATCATCTTCACTATTCTTAAGTGTAGGGTTCTTCAGTGTTACTTTCACATTGTACAGCCAATCTCCCAAACCATTTCTTCTTGCAAAACAAAATCTGTACTCATTAAACAATTTACCACTTTCTGCTCTCCTGTTTCATTCTACTTTATGAATTTGACTACATCATATCAATGAAATTGTAAGATTTACTTTTTTTGTGACTGGCTTATTTCACTTTTCCTTAATTCCCTTAAAATCATTGCTGTGTGCATGTGTCAGAATTTTCTATATTTTAAAGGCTTAGAAATATTCCATTGTGTGTTTATTTAAAAATTAGAACACTGTTGTTTCTACCTTTGGGCTGTGTGAATAGTGCTGCTGTGAAGGTGGGTATACAGCTATCTCTAGAACTTTGCTTTCAGTCCTTTGGGATGTATACCCAAAAGTGGAATTGCTGGAACTTAGGTTAACTTTATTTTTAGTTCCTTGAGGAACAACTGAACAGTTTTCATAGTAGCTATATCATTTAACATTTGCACCATTAGTTATTCAAGGTTTCTGATTTCTTCATATCTTCACCAACACTTGTTATTTTTCTTTTTCTTTTGATTGTATTCATCTTGGTGGGTGTGAGGTGACCTCTATAGTTTTAATTTGCAATTTCCCCGGTGATTAGTGGTTTAAGCATCTTTTCATAGACTTGTTGACTATTTGTATATATCTTCTTTGGAGAAATACCTGTTCTAATCCTTTGACCATTTTTAAATTGAGTTACCCTTTTGTTGTGGTTAAGTGATAGAAGTTCTTGTGTGTTCTGGACATTAAAACCCTGCTATGGTTAAAATGCTTGTCCCCTTCCAAATTCATGTTGAAATTTAATTACCTCTGTAGCAGTGTTAAGAGGTACAACCTTAAAGAGGTGATTAGGCAATGCCTTTGCTCTCATGAGTGGATTAGAGCTGTCAATGGGAATGGTTTCCTTACAGAAGGACTTTTGGCCTTTTCCTCCTCCCTCCCTTCCTCTTTATTCTTCTTCTTCCACCTCCATTCTCTTCTGCTTTCCACCGTGAGATAATGCAGCAAGACAGCCCTGTTTACATGCTTGTTTCTTGATCTTGGACCTCTGACTCTCCAGGATCTTGCATTAATAAATTTCTGTTATAAATGACTCACTCTGTAGCACTCAGTTATAGAAGGGCAAAATAGACCAGGTTATGCCCTAATGAGATAGTTTTCAAAATCTTCTCCCATTCCGTAGGTTACCTTTTTAGGGTCTTGCTGTGTATCCCATGCTGGTACTGAAGTTGTGGAAGTCCTCCTGCCTCAGCCTCACTATCTGCTGGGATTATAGACATCTGCCACTACACTGGGCTCTATAGGTTTCCTTTTAACTCTGTTGAGTGTGTCCTTTGATATACAGAAGATTAAAATTTTGCTCCAGTCCATTTCTCTATTTTCACAAAGCCATTGCAAGATCCAGTACTATTGTAGACAGCTAAATTAATTAGAAATATTATTGGCACTCAATCAATGCAAGAGACAGCTGTGG